GGGCATTAAGGGCGTTACAGGCGGACGCCGTGGCGCGGGCATTAAGGGCGTTACAGGCGGACGCCGTGGCGCGGGCATTAAGGGCGTTACAGGCGAACGCTGTGGTGCGGGCAGTACAGGCAAATGCTGTGGGACTTTTGTCACAGTCTCCTCAGGCACCTGAGGATTCACTGCCGTACTTGTAGATTTTTTTCTCACCTGCTTTCTCACTGTATTGCGAGGGCTTTTCAGACTGTAGGTTGTGGCCTGTTGGGAGATTGTGAAATAATCTAGTGGATTGTGACCAGCATTTTAAAAAACTGAACTAGAATAAAATAGGATATATCCTTGTTAGTGATTATGGCAAGTATGGTTTGTGAAATCTGCTTTTCAGGTGTAGGCACACACAAGTGTGTGTACATATGGGTTGACGTGTAATAGTGTTTCTTACCACATTCCCTCCTAAGTTTGAAAGCTGCTCTGGTGAAAGATATATTCATTTTCAGCAGAAACTTGGAGAAGCCTCCCATTCACCCTGAAGTTCCCTTAGCTGCCACACCTTGCCTCACCCTGATTCCTGGGAGAGGTTCTGAGAAACGCGCTGACGGGGCTCCTGCAAAATTCCCAGAACTTCAGTTCCTCTGTGGAGGGAATGTTTTTCCCGGCACTCCTTCTTCCAGTGAACTAATGGAAGGCCTCTATTGTGCAATTTAATTACTGCCATTATAATTGCTGTTCATTAATATTAAAACCATTTTTCTTAAATTAATTGAAGAATTCTTTTTCAGGTTTCCTTGCTGCAAAATGAAAGTGTAGAGAAAAACAAGAGCATACAAAGCTTGCACAATCAGATATGTAGCTTTGAAATTGAAATTGAGAGACAAAAGGAAATGCTTCGAAATAATGAATCCAAGATACTTCACTTACAGGTAAGACGCTTAAAACTATTGCTGGATGGCCAGGTAAAGGAACATGTCTTCAGTTTTCTCCTTTAGGACTTTCTTAGTGAGATGGTCTAGCTAAAGCTCTGGTTTTTGTCAAGCAGAGAGGCTACTCTTGTTTCTCTTGCTTTGCTGTGTTAAAAATTAAAAAACAAGCCTGTTGCCATCGAGTCGGTTCCGACTCATAATGACCCTATAGGACAGAGAACTGCCCCATAGGGTTTCCAGGGAGCAGCTGGTGGATTTGAACTGCCAACCTTTTCGTTAGCAACCAAGATCTTAACCGCTGCACCTTGCCATGTAAGGGGAGAGGTTTTTTTTTAGTGAACACACGAGGAGAGGTGGCAGGGTCAGTTCCCTTGCCCTGTCTCTGCAGCCAGCCCTGACACCTTCTGGGCCTGTGACCCACTGTTGGTGAGATAAGGCTTAAAACCTGTGTTTTAAAAATGTAGTCACTATTTATTGCTGTTTAGGATTTCATTTTGTTCTTGGGTAATTGTGATGTGTACAGGCTTACTTCCTAAAGTGAAGTGAGGCCAAACTATTTTGTCCTGCGTTTCTAACTGGCACACATACTGCTATGCAAACAACGTGCATGTTATACTTTCTTTTTTTTTTGGCCAACCATGCCTGCCCTCCAGGGTATTTTGATAAACATGCTATACTAATTTTTTACATGTTGCTGTAAAAAATTAGCATAGTGTGCTTAGTAAAATACCTGGTGGGGGGCTTTTAGCAAAAAAAAAGAATAGCACACGCGTTATTTGCGTAAAAATATGGTACTCACCTCACTTTATTTCACCTAACAGTCCAAAGGCACCTCCAGAAAACAGATAGACCTGATTAAGATGTTGCTTCTCATTTCTGTTATCAGCCCAGGTCTTCATCAGATACTTGCCAGGGTGTTTTTCTATAGCTGCGTGAGCGTGCGGATAGAGTCTATTTGTTACAGTACGTCCCCCAGACATCATGCATGCCTGAGGGAGAATCACTTGTGCTTTTGAAATTGTTTTGCAACGCTTGTATATATGGCGTTTTCCAAAATTATCTGGAAGAGACAGTCTTCTAATCATGCAGTACTGGCGTCTTTGCGCATGCCTTTACTCACATTCTAACATCGGAGTGTGGTTACAACGCCTTGAATTGCATAGAGATTTATTGAATTAATGTCATTTGTATTATACTTTGTGGCTGTCCAGAAAGAAAAAACAAAATGAAACATTAGATTGCGTTAGAGAAGGTGCAGGTCATCACTATTGAATCAAGCAAAACAGTACAATGTCACATAAAACAACAAGCCTCCCCCGGAAGCCCCTGGCATTTTGCTGAGGGCCCACCCGGGTGTTGGTCAGACTGTCCAGCCCGATGGCCCCCTCACCTGCAGTGCCCTGAGCAGTGCTAGCTTTTCCAGTGTAGCTGCTGCATCTGACCTGGGGCTCAGAGAGGCAGTGGAAATGCCAAGGAAGTCAGTGTTATACTAGAAGGTTGTCTGTCAACAGCAGAAGAAAGAAGAATAAAGTAGCAGGTTCGTTTAGAACAAAAACACTTAGAAGATACCTAACTATGTCATAGATGGATGTGTGGGAACGCTCAGAGATTTTATACACATTCCTTTTCCCTGGGCTTTGAGAAAAGTCGGAGGAGGTGAGGCCACAGCAAGAACAGAGTGGAGGAAAATAGGTCACATTTTAAAGAGAGGGACTCAGCTCAGACCAGATGCTGAGCCCAGGGTTTCCCCAAGTGCAGGAACAGGGGCTGAAGATGTTGAGACTCGTTAGGGTGGTTCGCTATTTAATGAGGGTGTGCACGGACGCCCCTCCATCTGTGAGCTTTAGCTTCACCTTCACTGTGGCTGTGGGGTTGCAGCACTTGACTGGTGGATAGAGGTCCTGCTGCCAGTCGCCCAGAAAGCACCAATTGAGAGCCTCCACGTGCTGGACTCTTGGGGTGTCGACTTGACTGTGAGTCAGACACGCTGTTACTGATGGGAGGTGCTACTCGGCTTCCTCTGTCCGTCTTCACCCTCTCAGACAGCCCAGCTCAGACTTGCCCCTTCACTGTTGCCTTCTCAGAACCCTCACGTACCCCGAGAAGGGCTGCGCTTACCTTCTTTACTATGCCCAGAAAGCTTTGTGTGACCGGTCCAGTCGCCTTTCCTGCTGTCCACACTGTCCGCAGCCAGATCGACCTTCTTTCCCCCTTGAAAGGCTCCAGGCCCTGATGGACGTCCCTGCCCTCGAGGGCCCTCTTCCCCACCTTCCTTCAATGGCCAGCTTCGGCTCTTCCTCACAGCCCAAGTGGCAGCGTGAATGCCACCGCCTCCAGGAAGCCTCCCCTGGCCCCACCCTCCTTGGGCCTCCGCAGCCCCTGTGATGGCACGGGTCACTCTATTGTGGTCACCTTGCTCCTTGTCTGACTCCCCAGCAGACCCTGAGCCCTCACGGCTGGTAGGAGCGCATATAGGATACAGAGTGCCTGATGGCCAGAGATGTGACAGACAGGGGTATGGTCAGAGAAGGTGTTAAGGTGGTGGAATTTTAAGAGTGTGTTTGCATTAGCTGGCCCAGGGGAAGGACTGTTTCTTAATATTTTCTGTTTTAAAGATCCTGAATTTCTTCATTAAAAAGACAGCCTCGGTATTAGCTTAATTCTCATGGTCCCATTATCAGTAAGAACTAGATGGATTTGATCGTTTCTGCAACCAGTGCGTCTGCAGGGCTGAAAGCCCCAGAGCACAGAGCTGAAACTGGATGAAGGCAGCGCCCCCTCCACACAGCCCTGGACTCTGAGGGCCATGGGCAGCCCCCACTTCCACCCAGCCCTGGACTCTGAGGGCCATTGGACAGCACCCCCCGCAACAGCCCTGGACTCTGAGGACCATGGGCAGCCCCCACCTCCACCCAGCCCTGGACTCTGAGGGCCATGGGCAGCACCCCCTCCACACAGCCCTGGACTCTGAGGATCATGGGCAGCCCCCTCCACACACAGCCCTGGACTCTGAGGGCCGTGGGCAGCCGCCTCTACCCAGCCCTGGACTCTGAGGGCCGTGGGCAGCCGCCTCTACCCAGCCCTGGACTCTGAGGACCATGGGCAGGCCCCTCCACACAGCCCTGGACTCTGAGGGCCATGGGCAGCCCCCCTCCACACAGCCCTGGACTCTGAGGGCCGTGGGCAGCCTCCTCCACACAGCCCTGGACTCTGAGGGCCATGGGCAGCCCCCTCCACACACAGCCCTGGCCTCTGAGGGCTGTGGGAAGCCCCCTCCACACAGCCATGGACTCTGAGGGCTGTGGCCAGCTCCCCTCCACACAGCCCTGGACTCTGAGGGCCATGGCCAGCCCCCCTCCACACAGCCCTGGACTCTGAGGACCATAGGCAGCACCCTCCATACAGCCCTGGACTGATAAATGAGACTCCAGAAAGCAGGACTTTTGATTGGGATTTATTTATATGGTGAGCACTCTGTGCTTCACCTCAGCTTCTGAATTCTTTTCTCATAACATCGCACACATCCATTTAAGATTTGCTATCTAGAAAGACTGTAGTGGCTGGGGTATAGACACTTAAGGAATGAAATCATACGTGTTGCATCCTACAGAGAAAGCTTGATTTCGGTCTGCTTTCTGCTTTGAGACTGCCATGTGTATAAGTGCACAGGCCTTCTTAAAAAATAGCACATGTTCCCTTGCTGTGTCTGAAAAGTCCCTTTGAGTCATTTGGTTGAGCCCTGTTTCTAGGTGTGCGTGTGCGTGTTATGTGTGGGTTGTGGATAGGTGTGACTGACTCGGGGCTGGTGTGTGGCAGCTGGGGGAGCAACCCACCCCCCTCCCGTGAATGTCGGAGCCCTCTTCTCAGATACCACAGTCCTGCCTGTGTGAGAAGGCGTGGCCGCCGAGTGTCCGATGCTCAGATGGTGCCTGTGCCTCCACGTCCACTGTCCCATATGCCCCCAGGCTTGGAGAAGGAGTGGCTCCGTGTCCCCACTTCTTTATCTGAGGGGTCTGAGTGTTAGAAACTATGAGTGACGTGTCCCAGTCATCCTGCCACAAAACACGTCAGCTAGACCCTTGTTTACTCTCTTCGTTTTCGTTAACTTGCCTCTTCTTCATTAGTGTCCGTTTCAGCTCGGTTTATAACATTAACGCACAGTACGCGGGCGTTATCACGGGGGTACCAGGGAGCTCACTAAAAACACGTTACGGTTTGGGCCTTCGTTAATACCACTAGTATTATCTCAGAAAATAGACTTTGTGAATTAACTAAATACTCCTCTGGCCATACCTACTTGTTTAAAAATGAAAGTCCATTGCTGTAGACAAAGATGTTCCTTAGAGAAATCTGACTCTTAAATGCTAACTAACCAGAGAGGACAGAAAAACACGACACTCTTACCCCAGAGAGACCACTAGACCTGTGTGTCTGTGCCCCGTGGGATTGACAGCCAGCCAAGGTGACAAAACTTATATGTTTAAAAACAGAGTCCAGAAAGGGAAGTGCATTAGGTGGCGGGGCCCCTGCAGCCTCCATGGGCCTGTTACCCCTCAGCTGGCCACCAGCTTTAAAGCTAGCTGGCTGCCGCTGCTGGGGGCTCGTTTCACCCCGTGACTGTCACTCACTAATGGGGAGTTTAGATGGTCCGCGTGTTTCTGGAAAGATATGTCTGCGTTAAGGGAGCATAGGGTCTGGCTGCTCTGTTGGCAACTACGTGCTTACTGGAAACCTCCCTACCTGCCTGCCCCTCCGCACTGAGCCGAGTGGAAGGAGGCCTGGGTGAGAAGGCCTGGGGCCTGGTTTCCCATGAGGCCCTCTGTCAGCCCTGCGCGAAGCAGGTGGCCCAGGCAGCTGTCCCTCCTGGGACCTGGCTGGCCCGGAGTGGGGCAGAGGAGGGAGAACTTGCTGTTTGTCCTCCATCTCTGGTGGGTCAGAGGAGGCGAAGGGCCCCCTGAGGTCCCTGCCCTTTAGACTGTGCAGCCGACAGAGAGTGTTCAGCATCCTGAGCCTGAGACCCCTGCACTGGTGGGGTGAGGCCTCTCTGTGCCTCGGTCTCCTCCTCTGGTCTCCCCAAGATGCCTGGGGGACTAAGGGGGTGTGTGTGAGTTCTGGAAACCAGGAATGTGAGGACGGGCAGTTAGGGCTGTGGGCATTCTGACAGCAGAGCCTGTGGAGGTCCTGGCGTCCAGGGGAGGCGGCTGAGGGGAAGGGAGGCAGCAACCCTGGGCGCTGGCCTGGGATGGGAGGGGCAGCCTGAGACCATGGCTGTCGGCCGTCTTCCTCAGTCCCGTGGCCCCCATGCGCCTCCCCAGGCCCTGAGCTGGTGCCGTTCCTCATGGCAGCACAGCTGCCCCCATGGTGGCCTCCCTGCCTGCGTCTCAGGGTTCTAACTGCTGTTTCACACTTCGACTTTGGCAGCGAGTAATAGACAGCCAAGCAGAGAAACTGAAAGAACTGGACAAAGAGATCCGTCCCTTCCGGCAGAACTGGGAGGAGGCCGACAGCATGAAGAGCAGCGTTGAGTCCCTGCAGAACAGGGTGACGGAGCTGGAGAGCGTGGACAAGAGCGCAGGGCAGGCCGCACGCAACACGGGTGAGAGCGGGCGCACTGAGGCACAGGGTGGGGGCAGGATGGGGGCTCTGAGGGACCCAGGACGGGCAGGGCTGAGGGACGGGTTGGGGCAGGACAGTGGCTGTGAGGGACCCAGGATGGGCAGCGCTGAGGGACAGGGTGGGGACAGGACAGTAGCTGTGAGGGAGCCAGGACGGGTAGGGCTGAGGGACGGGGTGGGGGCAGGACAGTGGCTGTGAGGGACCCAGGATGGGCAGCGGTGAGGGATGGGGCGGGGACAGGACGGGGGCTTTGAGGGACCCAGGATGTCCCAGGGTGGGCAGGAGCTGTGAGGGGACCCCAGGGTGTGGGTGTGTGGGACAGGTGGGGAACGGGCCTGTGAGGGACTGGGGCGTGGAAGTGGAAAGCGGGGAAGACAAGGTCTGAGAGGGGCCCCGGGGTGTGGGGAGCCTGCAGGTCCTCAGTGACCTCATGGGACAGGTGCACAGTGGCATGCTGCCTGACAGCAGCTCTTCCCTGTTCTGTTTGGTGCCGGTACAGCATTGTGACTTTCCTGCTGAGCGTCCCCAGTAGGGACAGAAACGTGTCCCTCTGAGAATGTCCCCTCCCTGTGAGGCCCCGTGTGTCAGGGAGTAGGGAGGGCCACTTGGTCCTGGTGCGTCTCAGGGTCTCCCTGAGAGAGGGGTCACGGGGTGGAGCCAGCCCAGGTGGGTGATGGGACAAGAGCAGAAAAGGGAGCTGGCCTGCAGGTCCCATGGACCCCCTGCTCTGGGGACTGAGAGTATTCCGAGTACTTGCAGGAGAAGGATTAATGGTGGAAAGGAAAGAGATGGACTTCTGCAGGGGGCATTGAGGTGAAGCGGGCAGAGGTGGAGTGGAGGGAGGAGCGGCTCAGGGTCGGCGCGCAGAGGACTCTGGGGGTTCAGGACCAGGTTATGCCGTGTGGCCGCAGGAAGGAAAGGTGGTCCTGTGCGTGTCATCAGCTGGGAGTTGTGGGTGGGAGAAGGGCTGCAGGAACCTGAGACATGCAGCAGAAAATGGGTATTGGAGGATGACTCCTGGGTGGGGTGTGCGTCAGTCACCCCACGATGGCCACAGTAAACCCTGTGTTCTTATTTGGTTCAGACGCCAGCTTGGACCTGCTGGTTCACTTTGGCACTTGCCTATCTTAACTGGCCCTCCTCCTCGCCCTTGCAGGCTTGCTGGAGTCCCAGCTGAGCCGGCATGACCAGATGCTGAGTGTCCACGACATCCGCCTGGCTGACATGGACCTGCGCTTCCAGGTCCTGGAGACCGCCAGCTACAATGGGGTGCTGATCTGGAAGATCCGTGATTACAAGCGGCGGAAGCAGGAGGCCGTCATGGGCAAGACCCTGTCTCTCTACAGCCAGCCCTTCTACACCGGCTACTTTGGCTATAAGATGTGTGCCAGGGTCTACCTGAACGGGGACGGGATGGGCAAGGGGACGCACTTGTCACTGTTCTTTGTCATCATGCGCGGAGAGTACGACGCTCTGCTCCCTTGGCCATTCAAGCAGAAAGTGACACTCATGCTGATGGACCAGGGGCCCTCTCGGCGCCATCTGGGAGATGCGTTCAAGCCCGACCCCAACAGCAGTAGCTTCAAGAAACCCACCGGAGAGATGAATATCGCATCTGGCTGCCCAGTCTTTGTGGCCCAGACTGTTCTAGAAAACGGGACATATATTAAAGATGATACGATTTTTATTAAAGTCATAGTGGATACTTCGGATCTGCCCGACCCCTGACGAGTAGCCGGGGAGATGGATTAGCAGAAGGTAACTCCGTTGGGGGGGTTGAACCGGTCTGTCTTCACTGAGGTCCTCACGTTCAGAAAGGACCTTGTGGGATGGCGGAACGGCAGAAGGTGGCCCGCACGGCCAACGGGAGGAGCCCACGTCCACATACACCCTGACATGTTTTCTAATAGACTAGCAACACTCAACTCTGAAGACCCGTTTATCCTCCACGGAGGTAAATGTCACTGTCAGAGGAATTTTTCATTTTCATTTCTAAAGATCTAGTTAACTAAGGTGGAAAACATATATGCTAAACAAAAGAAACGTGATTTTTCTTCCTTAAACTTGAACACCAAAAAAAGAAAAAAACGTACACGTGGGATAGCTGGACATGTCAGCATGTTAAGTCAAAGAAGAATTTATGAAGTAATTATGCAGTTCTGATATATTCATCCTAAAATTCAAGAGTGCAATCTTGTTTCAAATATAGTATATTGTCTATTTTTAAGGCCTCATCTGGTCTCTGTTTTAATAATTTGTTTGTCAGAAGACCCTGAAGTACACCTAGGTCTTTTTTGAAAGTCTCTAAATTCAGAATCATTTTTTTAATTTAAAGGTCTACAGATGATTGTTACGGCAAACATTTTATTTTAAAACGTTGATAGACTGCTATTTCTTGGAAGAAAATGTAAAATATCAAACACTGGTTATCACTTGTGATAGGAAAGAGAATATCCAATCTGTTGTTATTTCTCGTTAGAAATGTAAACCTTCAATATCTGTCGTAGTTAATGACACTACTTCAAAATTATTATGAGAGGAAAATTGCTCATGGATGCTGTGCATCATTTTCAGATTTATAATTGTTTTCACCCTAAAATAGGGCATTAGTTGAACTTTGGAGTTCTAAACAAAATCCTGTAGGTTTTTAAAATTCTGCCCCACGTGTCCAGACGCGCGCTCTCTCGCTGACGACCCAGACCTTCAGTCCAGTGTCCGGCATCCGGGGGTGGGCCAGGGGACTTGTGCCGAGGAGGCCACAGCAGACTGTCTCATTCTGTCCTAGTGCCGCCCGTCAGTGATCTCCGACGGTGACATTTCTGCGTAGAGATGGTGGCATCTGTGCCTGTGCCTTAGATGTGACGTGCTGCTTCTCGACCCTGGGTTTGTGTTTGGTGTCACTCTAGACCCTTCACCACTGAATTGTCACAGATTCCAAATTGCTAGGCCCCACCAGTGAGCCCCGCTCGGTGGAGCCTGGCCCACCCCCCAAGGCTGATGTGGACAGAAAGCGGCACCCTTGCCCGGGGCCTCCCCGGGCTGTGGACGACATCCGGCTCCACGTAGAGTCCTCTGAGCATTCCGGAGACCGCTGCCCTGGGGCCGCCCAGGCTGCCCGGCAGGCCCCCAGCACCCTGGCCCGGGAGGTGGCCTCGCCCCAGCCTGCGCCTCCAGAAGGCGCCTCTCGACTCACTGTTTACTTTTCCCCATGGTCCAACTGTGATGCGGAGTCTTCAGCCCTCCTCCTGTAGGTCCCCTTTTGCTATGCACCACGCTCTCTGGGTGCTTTTAACACTGACGGGTGCTACACGTGATGGGTGCTTTAGGCAAACCAATGTGTGCGAACCACCGCATCTGTGCCACTCGCTCACAGCGGCGCGCCCGCGATTGGCTAGCCGGGCCGCGCCCCCACTGCCTGCCCCTGGGCCCCCCGCCTCATCGCACGGGACGGCTGGGCTGGTGCCCCGGTGGCCCGCGCGTCTCTGGTGCTGCCACCTGTCCTGGGTGTGCCTTCGCCCCAGTGCCTGCTGGAGGTGCCCTCCATCGCGTCCATCCTCCCCGCTGACGTGCGTGGCCGCGCCGCCCCTGGCTCCGTTGCGATCTGTGTGTGACGTGCTCGGCTCTTCTCCATCTGCCTTTCTCTCTCCATCCCCCTGGAGTTGCTTTGAGGTGAGTCCGTGTCACTGGTTCTGACCCACCTGAGGAGTCTTGTCACTGCTCACAGGAAGGACTTCCTGCAGACACCGTGGAGAGACCACTGTTCCCTCCAAGGTGTGCCGACCCTCCCCCTGGCCTGCCCGGGTGCTCCCCGCAGGCCTAGGGGTAGGGGACCACCTGGCACTCTCCCTGTGCCCCAGACGGCTTTCCTGAGGCCACCACAGGATCTCCCTGCGACTTCCTTCCCTATCACAAAAAGTACCCCCAGTATTAATCAGCTGAGGATAAGCAACGTTTTGGCCTGGTAAAAAAAATCCTCCCCTTCTGAGTTTAAATCTGGTTTGGGTGTCCGCCTCCTGGGAGCACTGCTGGGAGGCCCCACCCCTTGCTGGGGACTGTCAGTCCTCCCAGGTGGGCCCAGGAGACTAGAGGGACCCTCCTCGGCTTCCGCCCAGGAGCCCCGGGCTGTAGCGGCAGTGGCAGCACTGTCATGGGATGGGGACAGGTGCATCCCCGTGGGATGGGATGGGTGTGTCCAGGTACGTCCTCGTGGGATGCGATGGATGGGTGTATCCAGGTGTGTCCCTGTGGGATGGGATGGGTGTGTCTGGGTGCATCCCTGAGGGATGGGATGGGTGTATCTGGGTGTGTCCCCATGGGATGGGATGGGTGTAACCACATGTATCCCCGTGGGATGGGATGGGTGTATCTAGGTACATCCCTGTGGGATCGGATGGGTGTATCTAGGTACGTTCCTATGGGATGGGAGGGATGTATCCAGGTGTGTCCCCATGGGATGGGATAGGTGTATCCAGGGGTGTCCTGTGGGATGGGATGGGTGTATTTAGGTATGTTCCTGTGGGATGGGATGGGGGGCAAAAACCTTGGGTCCCTGCTCGGTGTGCACTTCTCTCTCGGGTGCTCAGACCTTCTGGGGAAGAGCAGCTTGCAGGGTGGTCCGTGGTCCTTCGATCGTGGCCGCACCTCGAGCCGCTTCCCTCAAGGGCTCCTCGGTGCCGTCTGGTGCTTGCCGCCTGGGCGTCCACGGCTGTGGTCTCTGTGCATAGCCTGGCTGCCACTTCAGTGGAAGCCAGCCCCCTCGCTTCACAGGGTCCCAGCAACAAGAGGTGCAGGGTCATGTCCACGGGGTATTTGTGCATGCTCTTCCCCCGGCTAAGGTGACAGCGTCCCCATAGGACAGACAGCCCCAATGCTCTGAGAAGCCAGCATCCTCATAGGACAGACAGCCCCAATGCTCTGAGAAGCCACGCTGCCCTCTGTGCTGAACTCGCTGTCCATATTCCTCTTCACTGTGACGACTCGAGGACCACTGCAGTCTCCTCGCCTTGAGCACAGCCTCCCAGCTCTGGCGTCTCCCTGGGCAGGGACATGGCCCCCAGGCAGGGCCAGGCAGAGCCGTGGTGGCAGGGGGCACGGGCGCGCAGCCACAGGGCCCCCCAGGGCTAGCGCTCACAGTGTATGAGAACCCGGGTTAGTGCCCGGCTGTGTCCATGTATTTGGGGGTGCAGGTTTGGAAGGGTCACCTGTGGTCTGGGCTGAGTGAGGGGCCTTCTAGTGTGGTGGGGGGACAGCCACGCCTCACCCAGCCCTTTGGGACAAGACACATAGCCCCAGCTGGCTGGACAAAGTGAGCTTAAATAGGCTTTTTTATAAGTTGACTTTTAATTTCCCAGGTCAGGTGGCATTCAGAGAAGTCTTAAGTAGTAGGAGTTTGTGTAGATCGTTTTAGGACCTGTCAGGCAAGAGTGGCACTGCCCCCCGAGAGCGTGTCCCATGTGATGTGAGGGTGTGTGCTGTGTCGGTGCCTTGGCACACTGGCGTGTGCTGCCTATGCAAGGGGACCTCAGGGTGGCGCGGTGTGGGCGGGGCTGCAGCTGAGCCTCCCTCTTTCCTCCTCCCCCTTCCCCTGTCCCTGCCTGTCCCCCAGCTCTGTCCTGCCTGTGGCACCAGGTGGCTGTGGGACTGGCCACAGGAACCCAGACCCACCCAGCACTGTGCTCCCCGCCTCTCCAGGGCCCCTGCTGGAGCTTCCCCATGGCCCTCAGACCCGCTATCCAGCGCCCAGCAAGGAAGGCACTGGGACGGGGTTCCCCGCTGAACTGGCTCTTCGGCACAAGTGACCCTCCTGTGTGGCCCACCTCAGTGAAGGAAGGGGGTCAAGGCCTCGCTCCCTCCAGGCCTCCACTGCCCCTCACTCTGGGTGAGTGAAGTGGCCCTGGCGTCATTGTCAACAACCCCCTTCACTCCCGAAGCATTGCAGTGGCTGTCCCCACAGTGGTCCTGGCATCTGCAGGGGGTTCGTGGTGTCGGGATGGGAAGGGTCTGTGTGTGGGTCACCCCCTGGTCAGCACCAGGGCCTGGGACAGCCCCAGCACAGCTCCTGCCTCTTCCCTCTGCACGCTGGGGCACAGGGAGCAGCTGCCTCGCAGGTGCTGTGTCTGCGCCACACCACCGCTCTTTCCAGAATGGGTCAGGGCCGTGGACCCCTGTGGGGGCTCTGCCCGGCCCACCGCCCTCCAGACGTGCCCCTCAGCTGGGCGCTGCCTGAGCGCAGACGGCACTAAGATGCTGTCTTTTCACCCTCGGTCCACATCGGCACTGAGTAGCCGCAGGAGGGTGGAGGGTTCCCGCGCGCCCGTGTAGTGTCTGTGAGGTGAAGGAGGGTCTGCCCCCCCATCCCTGCTCGCAGCCCAGGACCATGTCTGTCTCTGGCTTTCGAATCCCGCGGGTCCATCTACCCCAGAGTAAAATACACGCTCAGGTCCGGGCCAGTGAGTCGGGTCTGAGGCTGCTGGTCTCTGGAAATGCCAGCTCTGTCCATCTGGTGGCGCGGTCTGGGGTGGAGCTGGACAGCCAGGGGGACGGGAGGCCGGTTGGCCACCATGCAGACACCGTGGGGGCTTCAGGACAGGGGTTGCCTGCGGCGCCAAGACCCACGTGCTTGACTACCCCCCCACCCCGCCCCAGCTGCTGTCTTCAGAGCACATCTTTTGAACTTTCTCAGTGGAAAAGAGGTCAAGTCCGGGGTCGCTGTCCCACACCTGTGATTCGTGGTGATTGATTTTATAACTTAGTCCCCTTAGACAAGGCAAGTAACCACTCACAAACTCAATGACTCGATTGGAAAACACAAAAGCCGGCATTATTTCCAAGGATTTCTGTAAGAAATAAAACATCTGTGACAAACCCATGTAGACAATTGTGCACCTTTTAGGGTTGCGTTCTTTTCTCTGATGGTACACCTCTTGTGTTCAGTTCTCTGACCCAAAACAAAGACCAAAGAAGGCCAGTCCCATTGACTCGTTGTAATCTGCCTGTTGCCCGAGTTGGCCGTCCGTAGTGACCATTAGCTGTGAGGCCCCATCTTGACAGTACAAGTGATTGTGACCAGTGATTCACGTCCGTATTCTGCTCTTCTAAGAAACAACACCACAAAGACAGTGCGAGTGACCGCTCAGCAATAACCTTGTCGTTAACCGGAGTTAACCACGTCTGACTCTGATAGCATTATAATGTTTTATATTTTTGTTTTCTGTACGTTGTGTGTG